TCGACCACGAAAGTATCACGGTCGACCGTGGCTGATTCGCGGGTCGACCGAACCAAAACCTGTTGGCCTTCTTAGTTGTTGATGATGATACAAACATTATATACTAATGTTGTTTGTCTAGTGTTTGTGTTCTTGCGTATATATTGCTAGGCAAACAACGGTTGGATGATGGATGGAATATGAGCTCAACGATCATATCCAAACTTCTTCGTTCGACCGCCGTGGTCGACCGCGACACAGTTTTAGGCCTGGGCCTGGTTTCCTACACTGTTTAGGATTCTATTTGATATAAATAGAAACACGACTTTCCTAGGGAAAAACAACCAGATTGTAATCAGAAAAAAAAAGATCAGAGAGATTGTTCTTTGATCTAGAGAGATTGTGAGAGAGAGACTTGTAATCTATTAATTATCATAATCTAGAAAAGGTATTTTCCTTCGCCCAAATCAACTCTTTTGGGTGTTCTTCTGTTATTTTCTTTGCAACCCATCCTTGATAATTCCGCGATCAAGGGTGCTCGCACGGCGACTCTTACCATTCCAATTTTAATTTTTTATTTCTTTCCTTGAGATTTACATTTTCACTTGCAATGACATCAAACTTATAGGCTAGAGTTTCATGAGTGGATTTCAATTCAACATGCTTGCTTTTAAGTCAATAAAGCTACGTTACAATTTTTTATGATCATGCATCAATAATTCATAACCATGAGCGAGTTCATCAATAGTAAGATCATTTTCGTTATCGGACTCGCATACCTCACTAGGGCTATCGCCTAGTGGCCGAGTGCATAATGATGGTGCTCCAATAGAACTTGAAGAGGAATCCGTCAAAACTCGTCGGATTGCTTCCAAGATCCCTTGATGTGCTTCTATGAATTTTCATAATTTATAAGCACTATCAAAAGAATCAAGCTTGTTAGATAAAGATGAATCAAAAGTATTGTGTAAAAATTCTAACAAGAGCTTGTTCATTGTAAACATTTTATGATTATTTTTACTCCACTTGGATTTCTCCGAAGTGGGTACAATATAAGCACAATCTATAATTTTCCATAAATCAAAGTGTCAAGATCTAACAAATAGCTTAAATCTAAGATACCATTGAGCATAGTGGAAATTATCTAAACGAGGAGTAATATTAATGGCACAACCTAAGCTAGGCGCACTGTGCATATCCATAATGTGTTGTGCAAGCAAAAAGAGATATAAAAATAAGATTAGCAATAATATGAAAGCTTGGATCTTTAACTCAAGGCGGTTAAGCTACAAATCAAAGAGCACCAAGCTCTGATACCAATTGTTAGACCCTAGAAGGGGGGGGGGGTGAATAGGGTCAATGCTAATCTAATTCTGATTTTATGCTAATTAAAAAAACTTTCTTGATGAATTAATTCTTGCAAAAGATATATGAATGAGTTATGAGCAAGAATGAAAATTACAAGCACTAAAGAAATATATACAAAGCAAACTCAAACACAATAATATGATCACGAAGTTTGGTCCTTCCGACCTACGTCTCCGCTCCCCACTCTCGGGGAGAATCCACTATAACGACGGGTTTTTGACGTTCACCCAAAATGTTCACAGTCGGTTTTCAACGCTTACCGACAAACGTTTACAACACACACAAAGTAAACACACTCTACACCCTCTAAGTGTTGGCCTAGCCCGTGTCCTCTTCCTCAAGTGCTCGGATTTACAACATCTCTTTAGGTTTTACAACCGACGCCACTCCTCTTGGAATCGACCCCGTTTCTCACCAACCACTCCTCTCAGTGTACAAATGTAATACAATGTCTCATACACAATTAAGGCTCAAATATAAATGATTTATTCTCTATAATGGATGAGAGCACTATGTAAGCTCACTCTCACAATATCACAATCCCACAACCAAATATATATAATGTATGAAATACTAAAAGCTCAAATAGGGATGTGTGTGATAAAATGAGTTCAATAAC